AAGATTGAGCATCAAAAACTCGGAGGATTATTACAGTCTTTGTCTATCCCAGAGTGGAAGTGGGATCACATTACCATGGATTTTGTGTCGGGTTTACCACGGACGTCACGAGGGCATAATGTCGTATGGGTCATTGTCAATAGACTTACCAAGTCCACTTATTTCTTGAGTATGAAGACCACTGATACCTTAGATACCTTGAGCAAGATTTATATTCGCGAGATTGTTAGACAGGGACAGAGTTACACTTTAGCACCACCTTTCATCCCCAAATAGATGGCCAATCCGAAAGGGTGATACAAATTTTGGATAGACTTCAAGGGAAGTTGGAGCGATCATTTGCCTTTGGTAGAATTTGCATACAACAACAAATTTCAATCTAGCATTGGCACAACACTGTATGAGGCTCTGTATGGAAGACCATCTAGGTCCCCGACTTCTTGGTTGGAAGCAAAAGAGAGTAGCTTGTGTTGGGCCAGAGATTGTTTGGGAGACTACGAAGAAAATTCAACTCATCCGGGAAAGATTACGCATGGCACAAAGCGGACAGAAGAGCTATGCAGATAGAAGGCGAAGACCCTTGGAATTCCAAGAGGGGGACTATGTGTTCCTCAAGGTGTCTCCCAAGAAGGAAGTGTTGAGATTTGGCAAGAAGGGAAAATTAGCCCCAAGATATATTGGACCATTCGAAGTGATCAAAGCGGTGGGCAAAGTGGCGTATCAACTTCGATTACCAGCTCAGTTGTCAGGGGTGCATAATGTGTTCCATGTGTCGAGGTTGAGGAAATGTCAATCGGATACAACACACGTGGTGGATTTAGAAGATATTGAGATTCAAATGGTGAAAGTCTTGTGGCAACACCATGGAGTGGAGGAAGCTACTTGGGAACTGGAGCTAGAGATGCGAGAGAAGTACCCCTATTTGTTCACTACTTGAGGTATGTTTTGAGGACAAACCATTCTTTAAGGAGGTGGATTGTAAACCCCCACACTTTTATTTTAATAACTAGCAAGTAAATTATGAAATGTTTTGTAATCAAACTTGTACCAACTATGTTTGATGTCCAAATGTATGTTGTATAAGTTTGGGTTGGTTTTGGAATGGATTAGAAATGAAAAACAAAGGAAACAGGCAAAATTGAACCGGTACAGCGTACCTATACGCTACTGTCCAGAGAGTTTACCGTACTGGTACTACATACCGGTACACTCTATAAGTTTCAGAAATTCTAAGTCGCAATATGAGGTCCATTTTTTACCATATAAATACATAATGACGCCTCCCTTAGCCCCATTTCAACACCTATAACCCTAGAAAGTCCTAGAGAGGAAGAAAGAAGGAGAAAAACAAGAGATTAAGAGTGGATTCAAGTTGGGGAAAGATCAAATTTCAAGTTCTTCACACAAAAACCAAGGAAGAAGAAGGTAGGGGTTTCTTCCTATTCTCTTACATTGAGGCTAGGGCTTATCTATATGTATTCTTTTGACTTTAAATCTTATATATATGCTTTGAATTCATTATTTCTTGGTATCCTTGCAAAGACCACCATGTTTTAAGCAAAGTAATGGTTGGATAGCCATTAAATCTCTTTTTCTTGATTTAAAACCCTAGTTTTCAAGAGAGATGGATTTTCCTCTTGATTCTTCCTTTGTTCTTGATTTCAAAACCCTAGTGCTTTGTGTTGAGTAATAAAATGATATTGTGATGATCTCTTGCTTATTTTCTTAAATTATTCTCTTGTATTACAAATTGTGAAAATTTGGGAATTTCGGATTGCCATGTGATATTGAGAAAAATGTTCGTTATTACATCTTTTGTATGGTTGTTGTGATAGACTTGAATTACATTCGAGCACTATCGTAGAGTGTTAGAGGTTATTCTATCCCAGGGGGGCTGAGATGGTTTCCTAACACTTGTAATGGTTTGTTGTTTGTGAAAGCAACCATTATTGTTCACGTAAGTTCGAGGCTGAGGGATAGTATACCTTTCCTGGAAAGGATTCGTCAATGCCGTGAGAGACGATATACGCCCTTCCTAAAGTGTTTGGAATTGTGTGATTGAGGTGGGTGAACGAGGTAGAATCGTGGTGTAGATTCATGAGAAGCAACTAACATACATGAGAATATGGGATGACACTATTGAACAATTATTGTTATTGTGTGGAATTGGTTTCCTACAAGAGCTTGTGGAGGTATGGGACTCTACAAGAACTTGTGGGTAATGGTTTATGGTTGAAAATGGTTTATTGTTAGGAAATTCGTTTTACTATTCATTTAAATTATTGCTATTGCGTAAACTTGAGATCCATTGAAATGTCCCAATTTTATTTCAAAAATTGATATATGATATTTGTAAAATGAGACCGACTTGCTTTATACGTTTTCTAAACCTTGTTCGAGTTTGGGAGGAATGTTGCTATAGTGCTTAGTGCTCACCCCCCTAAAAACTATATATTGTTTAGATTGTGGTCTAGACAAGGAGCTCGGAGTTGAGGAGCTGATACATTAGGAAGCTCCACTAGATGGGCTCGTAGACATCGAGGTGAATGTCTAGGGTTATACTCTCCTAGGTGTTAGACTAGGAAATTTCTTTTGAGATAATGTAAAGATAAATCTTTTGTTATTCTGCTGCGAGTTTAAATGTAATTCTTTTGGGATATAATAGTCATGTGTTGGCATATTCTTTTGAGAATGATGTCATAAATATTATATTTGGTAAATGAAATTTCTTTATTGATGGATTTTTATTAGTTGCTCTCAAAATATAAATAGTTTTAAATTGTAATGTCGTCCAAGGTGGTTTTTGGGGCGTTACAGTATAAGGTAGAGCACCTGGGTACCTCTGAGAAAATACTTCTGTTAGTTTAACATTAAGTGAAAGTAGAGAAGTGGTTGTAGCATTTCGAATTCAATGTCCTATTGAAAAATAATTGGAACAGGGTTTTTGGTTTGTCTTTTTAAGCCCATGACCTATCGCTAGGAAGCCTAACAAGTATACTTGAAAACTAATTGGGCCTTATAGTAATATGCTAAGTGTCACCAAAGAAATTACCAAACAACCATAGTTAGGTCAAGCTGGTCTATTTGTAAAAACCTAGTATTAGAGGTTAAAAGATGATGTCACTTTATGGGCTCGAGCAAGTTACTTTACTAGAATTCTCCTTCATGGGTTAGTGACTTAAAGTGCGAGCAAATATTATAAATCCTAATTGTAATGAACTCTACATGTCGTAGCATGAAAATTCCTAGGTTTGGATTTAAAATGGAGAGTGAATTAGAGTTGGATGGAGAAATTATGAATAGTACGTTTTCTTGCTATCCAAGTAATCTAAAAATGTTAATCGATAATCAATCATTATGAGTTCAAAAACCAACCCAAACTGTTGAGCTTTAACTCAATCATTTCAAATTATCATTAATGCATTCCAGACCAGTTCAGACATGCATAGTGAAGGAATTATGATGAGGACATGGTCATGTCTTTTTAATGAATTCATGAGACATATTTGAATTATGAATCCATTGGCATGATGTGTACTAGGTTTGGAGATGACTCCAACTATTTCGAGTCCACCTAGAGGTTGAGAGTGACATTACCTAATTGTCGAGTTTTCTTTGCGGTGAGTGTGCTATTTTATACAATTGATAATGGTGAGAGATGCCTATGTTTTAGTTATGTATTAATGTGTTGATTATTGGCTTTGAGATAGCAATATGAATATGCTATATGCTATTAAGTGGTGAATATAGCCTTATTGGCTAATGCCAGTTTATTGTTAATGAATGAATGTGTGGACTATTGTATGGTGATGGCAATGTGTATGATAAACAACCTTATTGGTAGGTGAATAACCTTTGTGGCAATTATATAACCTTAGTGGCGGATTGAGCCTTAGTGGTGGAATTATGTCTTGTAGGCAGATATAGCCTTAACGGCTAAGTTATGGCCTTTGTAGTGAATATGTGTACATAAATGTCAAATATGGTGGTTTGTGGGTGATTATTCATTTAATATTAATGAAGTGAAGTTAGTAGTACGAATTGTACGTACGATGGTTTCCTATTATGGAATTATATTTTAATGTGTTGAGATAGTAGTGGCATGTGAAGTATATTCTCATTATTATCCATTAGATGAAAGTGTACATTTACTGAGCGTGTTGTGCTTATTCTCCCGCCCCCCCAAAAATTTTGTGCTTTCGGGAAATTGGGCAAAGAGGGACGTCCATTGCTAAGTCTAGACGGTTGGGGATATGGCGAGTGGGTTTTGCTGTATAGTTTTGTATATGTCGAAGTCAAGGTGATAAGTTTTTAGTAGTCATGATTATGTACTTTGGTAAATATTATAAATGGCAGTTATGTTCATATGCATAAATCTATCTATATAGGTTAGTGGGGAGCTTGATTTATGAATTATGAAATGTTATGCACAGGTGTTTTTAGGTTTTTGTTAAGTTGTGGGGTCCACTCTACTGGCATAGACAATATACACTATTTCTGAGATAGGGTGTGGCATCTTGAGCACTAAAGGGTGTTGCTCAAAGAGCGATCTGATTGTGATTCAAACTATATTTTCAAAACTCAAAATTCGTTTAGAAAAACTTTTCTTTGAAAATCACCTAGGAATCATAATCGGATCGCTTTTAATTTCATTTTCATTCTATCATTCTTCTAAGTAGAGGAACTTAGAATTACAAAGATAAACTTACAAGAAACAATATTCTTATCTAAAACAAAGAACAAGTGAAACACTACCCATCCTTCAAAGCCACAAGAGAGCTAGAAAGGTGAGAGAGGCTCATTCCTCTAGGTGGAGGAAAAAGCTTACACAAATGGAAGCTAATGAAATTAATACTAATATGTAGAAGAAAACTAGCACATTTGAAGGGTTATTTCATCTTCCAAAAATGTTCTAATGCAAGGACCAAGGGTTAATGTTTATAGACCAAGGGAGGAAGGACAATGATCAATCTTGGGTGCTAAAAGTCAAGGCATGGAGCTCAAAATTCTAGCTGAAAGTACAGAACCAGGGACTTTCTAATCTTTGTTGGCGTTCGAACGTGAACCTGGTATTTGAACGTGGTAATAAATGCAACCTCGACACTCCGCAGTCCAACAATCAACATCATGTAGCCTAGCATCCATTTTGGAGATTTTGTTTGATTTGCAGGTGCATTCGAACGTGGGTTGGTGTTCGAATATGGACCCAAAGTCCACTCTTGTGTGCTTGTAGTCTTCGCAGTTGCTTCCTTCCATGAATGCTTGGTCCCACTACCTCTAAGTCTTCCTTTTAAGTCTTGGATACATAACATCACACTTGTACATGCCTTAGACATCATTCACCTTTGAATTTTGTCATTTAAACATAATTATGATGTAATTATCCCAACAAATGCATGATGGAATGTTCTTTTTAATAGGGAATCATACACCCCCCCAACCTTCTTCTTATTAGTCCCTTGTACTATAAAACAAAAAAAAATTACAATGCCATTTTTGTAGGCCAGACGATTGCATTTAGCATATGCAATAAGTCGTTTAACACCTAGGTTTATCCTAGTGGATAAGTGGAGTCTCGTGAAGGTTTCTGCATAAGGTACCTGATGAGTGCAAAATATTGCATATTTGAAGGCCTCATTCCATACATTTTAACTTAACTTTTGCATTTAAGTACTTAGAGTTAGCCGAAATTATGAATAATGTTGATATTTTGATGTTGCAGGTATTTATAGCATAAATCATGTATTTTATGACCTTGGAACTATGTTGGATTTGTGGTGAAGATATGGACACATTACATGAGGATTTGGAGGCTTAGAAGTGAAGAAATCAAGGAGGTATTGATGTTTGGTAACAAAGGCACCAGCACTAGCACCATCTGGTGGAAGTACTTGGGTTTTCTTCCATTTTTACTATGATCCACTAAGAATCTGGAAACAGTCAAAACACCAAAGTTGTCGATCTGGATGTCTTCTATATGGTATCAAAATTTCAGCTTCATCCAACGGTTGGATCAAAAGTTATTCCGATTCTACAAAAATGGGTCCATAGCAGGCAACCTTACCGGTAGTTTTCACTCCAGTAGCTACAACCTACCGGTAGATCGCTAAAAACCTACCGTTAGGTATTGTCCAGAATGTCTAGAACGTCTGCAACTCATCTCCAACTTGCTTGGGGGTCTCACCTACACTTCTCCCACATTTTACCTGACTTCTCTTACACATTTACATGCCTCCTACACCCTACTTGAAGACTTGGAAGGCTTGGGCATTAATGTGGATGGGAGAGAAGGGGTGAAGCCTGAGGAGACTTGTCCTAGCCTGCACCACCTATCCATTCAGCCCCCTATTGATGGGAGGCCTTCCACATAGCTAGAGGGACCCTCCATGGACGAAAATACAAGGCTTTCTCACCATATATTCAGCATTCAACAAGTTTTAAAGGGGGTAGCTACCTAAGCTAGGAGTAGTTCAATGTAGAAGATGATGAATAGTAATTAAAAAGCTTATGTTTTTGCATTTTCCTTTCCATTTCAGTTGTGGTAAGCTTTTAATCTCTTATAATCTTTAACTCTTGCACCTTAATGTCATTTACTTCAAGTTCATTTCAAGTTTAGTTACATGTTCTTCATTTCACCATTAATGTTTTCAAGCTTTCTTCATTTTTAGTTTCAAAATGGGTATTGTATTTCTTTCTTTATAGTTCAAGTTTTCTTGCATTAAGTTAAATTTCATGCTCCATTTCAATATTATGTATTTGTTTCTTACTTTCATGAGTAGCTAGCTTTTTAGTTGGCTAATTCATGGGAGAACTTCTCTTGGGTTTTCCATTTCAACTCATTTTCTTTTCTCCTCTCGGTGTATGATGGTTCGGTTTGACTGGGTTGAGGGTGGATGAGGTTGTGAGTCTTTGATAACCTGTAGGCCTAGTCACGTTTTATGTTTGGATCCTTACCATCTCGTCCCTAACTTCCCACGAATCAATCGTTCATCTATGCACCATTGGAGAAAGGTTTTGAGTTGAGTTGGGATTCCAATTGGAATGACCTCTTTGGATTAGCCAACACTTATTTTCATTTCATTTTCCTCAAGAACACAACAAACCAAACTCAAACTCATAAGATTTTACACTTTTTATTTTCACAAAATCACCTTCACACACTTGAACTTTCCTTCCCTGAGGAGCCGACCTTGGAATACTTTTTCAAGTAAAACATGACATACAAAAGACTCCTTGCGCTTGGGGAGCACTTTTGTACACACACAAAAAATTTTGTGCATTAACACATCACATTACCATCATTTCATTTTTTCCCATCTCCTTGCCCTTTCTTTTGACATCACCCATAAGAGAGTGACACTCCCCTTCATCCATATACTATACATGCTAAAAGGTGATGTTTAGAGGTTAGGAAACTACAAGGAATTTTGTCAAGCAATACCGACAAACTTCTGTTAAAGAGTCATGAGTATTTTAGATATCCTGTAAGAGTTGAATTAACAGCAAGGTTATCAAGATATACAATCATTAATCACTAGTGTATTCCCACAAAATGTATCTATAGGAATAACCCCTATATAAAAGTATACACATGTTACGTTGGTATTTGAAACTCGTTTTGTGAAGAATGATTATGAAAAATGTCAAGAATCATCATATAACAATCACTCCTCTTTATGGCCCTCCATGGTTAGCTTTGATATCATAAATCTCTCTAGGGCCATCAATCACCAAAAATTTCCTCAAGTATTAGTGACTTGCTCTTAGAGTTTACACGTGCAAAGAATGATGGTATTCAAAGCAAGACTATTCACACGTATAAACATTGAAAGAATAGAGTTATAAGGAATCACTTTTAGCATAATAATCTCATGAAATAGTATTAATACAAACAAAAGTGATATTATTGTGGCCTTGGGTTGTGGCCTAACGAAACAAAGGGTTAAAGGAATACAAAGAGATTATCCTAAATATGCATAGGCTTCTTCTTTTTCCCGTCCAACAATTCAGTCATCCCTTTTTCATAGTCTTCACTTGTTTTATAATTAAACCTTGCCATGTTTTCATCTTTTATTTTTCTTTTTGCTCAAAAGCACAATTTTTTTTCTTTTTTCTGCATCGCATTTGTCCTGGTATAAGTTGTACCAGTTTAACAATGAGTTTCCACTATTCCATCTTTGTTCTTGTTTCATTTTCTTCATCCTGGACAACTTCTCTTTTTTTCCACCAATGCATATCCCATGAACAATCGATTCTAAGCAATTTCGGGAAAATCAGGACTGGAGAGTTCTTTTTAAACCAAGTTTGGTCAATAACTTTGTTAAGACCAGAAATATTCATTTGAAGGCTCAAAGACGGATGTCTAAGGATATAATGTAAAAAGAAGGAATGGCTAAGGCTCAAAAATTGATGCAAGATGGCCTACTATCATTTCTTAAGCAAGCACACGTATACTTCTTATTTTCAAAATCTTGGGTTATATTAATCATATTTCCTTACCTGTATTTATAAAAACGACATTAATGAGATTATTCAAAGAACAAAAAATGAAGGATTTTACGTGACTAAATGTAAATTGTCCCTCCAAGGATAGGAAAATGCAAATTTCACCAAAGGTTCGTCATTATCTCCACAAGATATGTTGGGCTTTCAAAGAGTAAAAGTTATAAAACAATTCCTTAATCCTGCATGGCCATTATGCACCTTTGCATGAGTTGCAAATAACAATGTACATCTGGCACTTTAAACGTAGAGACAATAACTTCTTTACCCATGTGTGTGAACCACTCAAATTCTTGGATTGAATATTATGATAAACCTATGTTAATTCAATCTCTCATGCAGTCTCAATATCATGACTATTGTACTAATTTAAACAACAACACACAAATATTAACAAAAACTCATATTATAACAAAAGACATCTTAAAGCAATTAACATAACCAATCATTAATCCAAAATAACCAAAAACATCCCAAAATATCCAACAGATCCCAAAAAATCCTAAAAATTAAAATTAAACTGTTTGAAAAGCAAAACAAGGTTTTTGGAATCATTGGTTACTAGCATCTTAACCACCCATGCGTCGGAGGATCTCATCTTGCTTAGCTTCGAATCTCTCTCAATGTCCTCCTATCCCCTTGCTTAGCATGGGCCTCCTCTGCCTCTCTCCCTTTTTCCTCATCAAGCTCTTGTTGCACTTAATCAACCCCTAGGTTGGCTTCCTTGCTTCTCTCCTCCCTCCAGTGTGTGTTTGGCTCCTCCTAAAGGACCCTTTTGTTCAATCTCCCCATCGACTTCTGAAATTCCCAGTCCGATTGAACAATCACACCCCAATCTCTACAAATCTCAGTCACTACGCTTCCAAAGGGAAGTTAACTCATATTCAAATCACAGCACTTCACCATTTCAGACAAAATAAGGGTGGATAGGTCAATGGATTGGTTCTTGCCCAAGGCATACAAAAGTCGGGCCATGTCCAGGTAAATTTCATTTTTGTGCCCTAAAGGCATTTGATTCATCATAGTGATCAAATTGAACATTTTATAGTTAAGTCCCTTGCTTGAGGAATCTCAAGCTTTCCCACCAAAGGCTGGGGTTTTTGGTCAATTCCCTCCCAACCACCTTCATGCCCACCTTCTTTCTTGGCGAGTACGCGGGTCAAGGGACACGGGGCAATTGCCTCACCTCCACAATCAAGTCACAGTTGACCTCAATCTCAATCCCTCTTACGTACATCCTCACTTTCCCATTCACCACATCGACTTTAAAGTAAAACTCCCTCACCATCTCCTTAACGGCCTCCCACCATTTCTCAAATATCCAACCCATTCCCTGTGCCTCATTATATGCAAAATACCCAACTCCTCAAATTCATACAATAACAAAGTATGCTCATACACAATGGGTTTATCTCGCAAATAATTCTCATACCTGTCGGCAATGAGTGCACTGGGGAAACATATTTGATCGTGTCGATGAAGAATAGGCGCCCTTCCTTCTCTTCCATCCTCCATAACCTTTTACACGAATCTTGGCTCTTGGTTTATATTGCCCATGTTCCTTCTTGTAGACATTTTCACTCGAGGAGGCATGGTTTTGGACTTGGGGGTTTTGGGGTGAAAATGGGGAAAATCCTTCATTATAAAGTGGGGAAATTGGTTGAAGAATGGTTTGAGTGGAAAATTTTTAAGATTAAATGGATGGGTGAAGTGATTTCAAGGCTTGGGGGTAGTTTTTCAAAACTTAGGGTTTGAGTTTTGAGGGTTTGGGGGTGAGAAATGAAG